CTGTTACAGTTCTGAGCGCCAGCAGGACAAGAGTTGATTGCTCCGGCCCTTAAGGCCTCCGGGCCCCCCATACACACAGCAGCCCCAGGAGACAGACTGGCTTTGGTGAGGTCCAGTGAGGGGTCCTGACCGGTGTTAATAAAACAACCAAATAACTCAGGAATGGTTGTAACATAAACAGGCAGCTCACAGGAGACAAGCCCTCGTGGGCGTGGGGTTGCCACTAGCCACTGAGGAGCCACACTTAAGAGCCCCTCCCCTTCCCCGTGGATGGGGTCGTTCCTGGCAGGGAACTGGGACTGCGCGTGGTCAGTGTGAAGGGCAAAGGGGCAGCCCCTGTGGAATAGGATGCCAAAGACGCAGGGTGCAGACCCCAGGGAAATGCTCCTCTGCCCACCAATGTCTGCGTGTGTTGGGTACAACCCCTGGGGGTCTGGGTGATGCTGGAAGAAGGATAGAGGAGGTGAAAGATGGAATTTATCAAAAGAGTAATAAGCCTGTTACTTAGGAAGAGGAGATGAAGTTCATCTGCCCTGTCACCTCCCGTGCTTGGAGTTGTGAGCCAACCGGGGCCCCCTCCCCCTGGGGAATGAGCTGCGGGGCCCTTCCTCCCAGGCCACCTCACCCCCAGGCACCCACCCCCGCCCCAGGCTGAGTCTCCCGTGCTGCTGACCCCGGGCAGACGGGGAGGACTCTCAGGCTGGCTGGCATCCGCTCGCCCAGGCAGCTGTCCTAGAAGAGGGAGGCCGTGGGCACATGCAGAGTGGGCGTTTCTGGCAGAGTTTATATTTTGGCTCTGATGGCGAGTTACATAAGGAGCCTTAGCATCAAGAATGATGGGCGGTGGGGGGGGGGGGGGCGCTGGTCTTCCTTTTTTGTTGTTTTTTAAGATTTTTTTTTGATGTGGACCATTTTTAAAGTCTTTATTTAATTTGTTACAATATCGCTTCTGTTTTAGGTTTCGATTTTTTTGGCCACGAGGCATGGGGGATCTTAGCTCCCCGACAAGGGATCGAACCCGCACCCCCTGCAGTGGAAGGTGACGTCTTAACCGCTGGACCACCAGGGAAGTCCCAAGAGTCATGCGTTTATCAGGTAAACACGTGGGCTTGGGTTTTCTCTTCTGTTGTCTCTTCAAAGAATCCCAGTCAAGCACAGGTGACCCCAGAGAACCACGGGCCATCTCCCCCAAGGCCGTGCTTCACCTTCGGCTTGCTCCCGTTAGAAACCCCCTTCGCGATTTACCATCCCTATTAGAAGATGGGGAAATGAAAGGAGTTTATGTTTAAAAATTAGTTTTACTTTTGTAGCTGTCAAAACATGGATAAGGCCTTGAACTGGATGGAGCTTTGGGGGTGTTTTGCTTGTTTTTTCCCAGGATCCAGTTACCCCGACGGTGCCTTTACTCAACAAGGTGTAGCCTGGGCCGCTGCTGTGCACCTGGCACTGTCCTCAGCATGGAGAACACAGTGAGGAAAAAGACAGAAGACTCCTTTCCCTGCGGAACGAAGGTTTGTAACAGTGGGAGACAAACGGACTAGACCAGGAAGATACGGAATCAAGGCAAGTCCAAGGGAAGAGGAGCCACGAGGGGGCGCAGTGACCTGACAGGTCTCAGGACATCCAGCACTAAGAAAGTCACTCTCCCAGACCTGCCGAGTCAGACACCTGCGTGGGAGGGTGTGAGGGTCTGGTCCCCACCTCAGCGGGAGGGAGGCGAAGCCCAGGCCGGGTGTTGGACTGTGTGGATTCTGGGCCCTTCTGGCGTCTCCTCCCACCAGGCACTGCTCCAGCCACAGCCTGAACACGAGCCACCCAGAAATCTCGCTTGAGTTTCTGCATTGGTGCCCGACTCTCAGATTCCAAAGGCTCCTTGAAGCGGCCGAGGAGTGAGAAGGGCCCTCCAGCGCACGGCCCCGCCGCCAGCTCCTCGCCTGGGTGCCAGGCCGCCTGGGCCCCCTTTCCACCAGCAGCTCCCGGGGAGGCTGGGACCCGGGGAGAGGACCGGGTTTATTTTAAACTTGAAATTGAAGGTTACTCTTTAACGATGACAAAACAGGCCCCTCCAATTCTCGGCTGCCAAGTCAGTGTCCTAAATAAGAAACCAGCGGGCACTCCTTTCCCGTTTTGCTTTTCGGGGAAGGAAGCCACAGCCCAAGGAGGGAGGGAGGTACCTGCCTGGCTGCGGGCAGCCTCCACCTCGCCCGCAAGAGTCAGGGAGGCCAGCGAGGCTGCAGCAGCTCCCCAGCCTGCCTTGGTCCAGGGCCGGGGGCGGCTCTTTTAAGTAAAAGTTTGGAAAATTTGGGAGCTGCAGGAAAATATGAAGAAAAAAGTGAAAGCGGTCATCTTGCCTCTCAGCACTGTATTTATTGAATGCTGCCGTTTTAGTCGGGCCCGACTTCCATTCCTTCCTCGCTCTCGGACATGTTTATACAGCACGTTGCATGTTGCAACTTGTTTTCCTGTGGGTTTTGTCTCTCATCTTCACCCACGTCCAGTGAACTGGGAAGGAAAAAAAAATCCTTATCGCCTTGGAGCAGAGACGAGGGTGAAATGACTTGCCCAGGTCAGCTGGCTAATGGGTGGCCTTGTTAGAATGAAATTGCCCACCAGAAAAATGTTAAAACGGAAGGTGGGTGCCGTGGGGGTCTGTGATGCTGTGCGGTGTCCACTGAAACGGCAGTTACAGAAAACTGGGAGCACCTGCTTCTCAGACGTGGAAGAAGATGCGATGTGGGTGCTGCCCATGTGTTCCCAAGGTTACTCAGTGCATTCCTGACTGTTCCAGCTTCTTTGCTGCAAAGCAAGTGACACCAGAACTTAGGGGCAGGATTCTGTGGGTGGCAGGGCTCTGCAGGTCTGGCTCATCTCTGCTCCACAAGGCGTCTGCCGGGGCAGAACCTCCAATACGGGAGGCCCTTCAGCTCCTCGGTGTGGACAACCCACGCCCACTAAAGAGAGTTCCTGGGTCGCTCGTTAAAAATTCCGGACCTACTGATTCAGAAATTTTTCTCAGGAGGGAATTCCCAGAGAATTCTGAAGCCCAGGAAAGTTCGAAAACCACTGTCCCAGGAATGACAGACAGTCCCGGGCTCCTGCCCGTCGGCTGTGCCGTCAGGAACACCAAGGCCGTCGTCTGGGCTGGAATAACTCTGAAATCTAGGAAATGCGCCAGGACCTTCCTTCCAACACCCCGCCTGCCCTCTTCTCTAGCCCGTGTAGCTACCCACCCACCTGTAGCGGCACAAGGACCCCACCTCACCCGGGAACCAGGCCCCGGCCCAGGAAGCGAAGCTGCGTGAGTGCTGCATGGGCCCGACCGCAGCTCTGAGTTCTGAGAGCAGGCGCCTCCCTCCTGGACCTCCGGGTCCCTGTCTTCTGATACCTGCTTGTCCCTTCGCCAGAGCTGGCCGGCAATTGCGGGACCCGGAGCAAAACGAAGACGTGGGGTTGTGGGGGGCCTTGTTCGAAATGCAGGGAGAGCCTTTCTCCTTTCCTCTCTCTCTCTCCTCCCCACCTCCGTGGTGTTTCTTGTTTGCTGTTTAAGATGGGCTCTCTCGGGCACGGGGACCCTGGCGGGGGGCAGGTGCGCCCAGGCGCCCGGGGCCTCACCGCAGCCCCTGGGCGGACCATACACACACCCCGCGTCCCGACCAGGCCTCCCCCAGGACCAAGGGGCCGCGGCCTCCGGGGGACGGTGGGGAGCCGGCGTCCACCGGGACGGCGGGAGTTGGCTAGAGGCATCCCCAGAGCTGCCCAGTCCCGCTGCCCTAAAGCAACACCTGCCTAAGCACCCCCCACCCCTCCCCAGGGGCCCAGAACCCAGGGCTGTGTGTCAGCCGACTGGCCGCGGGTCGCTGGCAGCTGTCCCACAGCCTCAAGCGCCCACTTATTTCTCCCCGGGCTCTGCACAGTCGCAGTGGCCGGGGGCTGCCCGCCGTCCTGCCGTGTCCTCCACAGCCCAGCCCCACCCCTGGTGACAGCCGGGCTCTGCCCCGGGTGGCCTGTGCCCTGTCCCCCGGGACGCCGTCCTCCCAGCTCTGGGCCTCAGGGCCCTACCAGGCAGCAGCAGGGCCGGCGGCCTGGCCCACGTCCTTCTGGAATCTTCCAGATCATTCCCACCTGCTTTCCCTCCCCGCTCACCAGCACCAGGGCCCAGCCCTGCTCCCCCTGAGGTTAAGTGCTGACTCTCCAGAGTTTGGATCCTGCCGGAGAAGGTGGGGCTAAAGGTGCCCACATGGTGACCCTGAGTGAAGGGACAAGGGGCCCGTCAGCCTCAGTGGGACTGGAGCCTGGAAGCAGAGGCAGCGGGCTGTGGGCAGAGGTGGGTGGAGGCGTGGCGTGAACAGGAAAGGAGGGAAGCACCTCATCTTTACTGAAACTGAATTGCACCCGAGCCAGTTTTTCCTGTTTTTTTTTTTTTCCTTAAGACTAGTTTTAGGTTCACAGCAAAACGGAGAGGAAGGTTTTACTCTCTGTCCCCACCGGCCCCATCCTCACATCCGCAGCACGCCGGGGCGGGGGGCGTCCACTACAGCGGATGAGCCTGCACGGCCCCTGTCCCTGTCCCCCGGAGGCCGCGGTTGGCACGAGGGCTCCCTCTCGGTGGCGGACGTCCTGTGGGTTTGGACAAACGTCCACGACGTGGATCCGCCATCACAGTAGGTGACAGACTAGTTTCACTCCCCCCAAGTCCTTGGTGCTCCACCTTGTCATCCCCCCCATACCGCAGGGGTTTTTTAAGATTTTGTTTAATTGGGGGAGAAAGAAAGGAGCCAGAAAGGCGTGCGGATTGGCTTCCAGGAGGTGAGCTTCCCGACGATATCACGCTGATCTCCAGCCCCGGAGGGAGGCTGGAAGCGGGGCGGGGCGGGGCGGGGCGGGGCGGGGCGGGCGGGGTGGGGAGGGCCCGGGAGGCACGTGGTGGGTGGGTCCCTCCTTCCTTCGCTCAGGCATCACCTGCGGGCGTCCGGGGCCTGCGGAGCCAGGTAGGAAGCCGCAGGGTGAGGGAGGCGCAGACTCCGCTGCCCCGGGGTCTGGGGGGCCCGGGGGGGACGGAGGCGCAGGCCAGTCGCCTTCGGAGGGGACGACGCCGTTGAGTGGCCCGGGCCGGGGCGCTGGCGGGGACAGCGAGAAGCGCACGTGAGCCCGCGGATTAGAGCCCGTGGTCGAGAGCGCGGTCCTGGAGGCAGGAGGGGGTCGATGAAGGTCGATTGTCGGATCAGAGCTGGTTCTAGAAACATCCCGCGGCGGAGCGCAGGGCGGAGCGGAGCTGGGAGGCCCAGGGAGGAAATGGCTGAAGTCGTCCGGACCCAGGTGAGGGGGTTGGAGGGGGATGGAGGGGTGCAGCGGGGCGCGGGCGCCGCGGGGGGACGAGGCGCCGGGGTGCGGGTCGGGGCGGCCACCATGGCAGCCGGGGGGCCGGCCAGGTGCTGGTCGCTTGGAGGCCGTGGGCTCATCTTGTTCGAGGAGCCTTTGATGGCAAAAAGGGACAGAAGCCAGCTCGGATCGGCTCATGCAGACATGGGACAGTGTTAGTGGCTGCACCGGGAGGCCGGGAGGGCTCCTGGCGCTTGGCGGTGCAGGCGCCCCAGGGCCGGTGCTAGAGCCGCCTTCTCCGCGCTCTGACCCCCGTCCGCCCCCCTCCTGTTCCCCAGCTCAGCCACTCCGCTGCTCCTTTTCACCAGGGACCCGGGAGTGACCCGTTCTGGCCGGAGCCTCATGCCCACCTCTGGCTCACATGCCAGTATTGGAGCAGAGGGCCAGTCGGCTGTCCCTGAGCTGCCCGGATGGAAAGTTCCGCAGAGGAGGACTTGGGGGTGGGGCTGTCGCCAGGAGCAGGGGGAGTTTGCGGGGCCCACTGCGGGCGTCCAGTGGGCAGGCATCCAGGTGGGGCGTCTGCAGCTCAAGGCACAGGGGAGCGCTGCAGCCGGATCTGAGTTGTGTAGGAGCTGAAGCTCTGGGGATCACTGAGGTCATTGGGGAGGGGGAGAGAGAGAAGAAAGGGGGTTCCAAGCAGCTTTATGGGGTTACCCCTGGGGCAAAGAAACCACGCCCCCTGTGCCAGCAGAGCCGCGAAACCTGGCCGTGCAAAAAGGTTAAACTACTTCACGCTGAAGCCTGGTGGGGGTGGGGGTGGTGTGTGTGTGTGCGCGCGCGCGCGTGCGTGCGTGCGTGTGTGTGTGTGTGTGTGTGTGAGTGTGATCAGGAAGGGCTCACAATCAGCCCGTCTCTCGATAGCAAACACCTGTCTCTTCCTCCCTGTGCCCACCGTCGCTCGGGCCCACACACCCGATGGGGCACCCCCAGTTGGGCACTTGCTTGGTTCTTTTTATATGGTGGAATGTATTTGTCCTTTTTCCCCATTTCTTTTGTTTAGCTGAGCTGTGTCTCCTCAGCTAGACTGGAGGACGCGTGGGGCAGTTATCCTGTGTCCCCTCCAAACCTCAACCCGGCGCCTGCACGTTGGGGTGTGCGTTTTGCAGATGGGGACAGAGCCCGGGTGGGCAGGCCCTGTGGCCATATTGTCTGGGACACAGTTTTGGGTCTCATCCGTCAAGCAGGTCAGCAGCGCCAGGACTGGGGCTTCTGCCCGGGCCACGTGAACATGCGAGTTCTCAGTGAATGAGCCCACCCACTGGCGGGGGGCAGGGGGCATATGCTGTGGCTCCGACCTTCGCAGGTGCTGCGCGTGGCAGGCCGGGCTTCTCCCTGGGCGGCTCATTACGGTCACCTGGGGACTGTTCCAGCTGGTGATGGGGCCTCACCTGAGGCCCATTAAACGGTCTCTGGGGGTGGGGCTCCACGCGGAGAGTTTTTAAAGCTCCCCGGAGCTTCCTACTGTGCCGAAGGCTGGACCTGCCCAGCCTAGGGTGTCCTGAGGGCGACACAGGGACAGCTGATGGGATTCGGAGCCAGACAGACCTGGGTTCAAATCCCAGCCCCACGGTGACTCGGCTTCTCTCGATATGATGTCTTTATCTCCAGAATGGGTGTTAAGTGCCCATTTCCCAAAACATCAGGTACCTACAGAGCTTCAAGTACATAGAAGCCACCTAAAATAATAGTCCCCACGCCTCCCTGAGACCTGAGGCCTTCACCGAGTAGACCCTCAGCTTCTGTACCAGGGACATGTGGGGAGAGGGAGGCCCCTTCAAGGGTGCCATGACCGGGGCAGTGGCAGCCGTAGTCACACGGAGCTGGGGACGGAAAAGCCTTCCTCCTCCTTTTAATTATAGAGGAAAGGATTCATAGTCTCCCGGACGTGACCTCTGTGAGTGCTTCCACACACTACACAAAATTGTCATCCATCATCTATTCGTTTGGAGACTTTCCATTTTCTGAAAGGCAGCGGGGACCCTGAGTCGGGGAGGGGGCATCGCAGCTGGCACTGCTGCTGCCAAGCCTGCGCCGCGTCCCTCCCTCCGACAGTGGCTCCCCACCTAAGCGCTGGCCTGGCGGGGCCTGGCCTCCTCTGCGGTCCGCGAAGAGCCATCGAGGGAGGCGGGAGACGCAAGAGGCCCAGTGCGTGGGTGGGGGGCGCTCGCTGATGAGGGTCCTGGTTTGCCTTTGGAGTCCCAGGGGTGCTGGGCAAGGCCTTCTGCATTGTCACACTGCAAGGTTGGCGTCGGCTGGGAAGCTCTGGGCCCAGGGTTTAATTTTGTGTTGATACTAGAGTTAGAGGCTCACCAAAAAGCTGCTTAGAAATCTAAAAATTTCTGCAAATGCTACATGTTTATCTGAAGATAAAGCTAATTGGACCACGAGGAAAGGAAGGGCAGCTTCAACTTGAGAGATGGTACTTAGACGATCAAAGCCCTTAACCATGTATATGATCAAGGTCATAGCTAAGGAAATACTGCCTGTTATGGGCTGAATTGTGTCCCCCCCAGCGCCTTGGAATGTGACCGTATTTGGAGAGGGGCCTTTCAAAGGGTGATTAAGTTAGGGTGACCCTAATCTGATCTGACTGGTCTTCTTATAAGAAGGGGAAGTTTGGACCCAGACACCAGGGATGTGTGTGCACGGTCCGTGTGAGGACACGGGGAGAAGATGCCCATCTATGTGCCAAGGAGGGGGAGGCCTCGGGAGGAACCAACCCTGCTGACGCCTGGATCTCAGACCTCCAGCCTGCCCGGCTGGGACCCCTGGGCAGCGTGGCTCGGGTGCCTCACTTTCAGATCCGGGAGCACCAGGTATTTCGTGATTGTATTAAGCACCGTGCTCCTGGGCCTGAGACCTAGGATGGGTGTGGAGAGAAGGAAGGTGCATCTGGTCATATCCGAGTGCCCCAAAGATCACGACTGTCTGCTCCCCAGAGCCTGAGAAGAGCCATGGGGCTTCCTTCGCTCTGGCTGGAATCTTCCAAACCTGTGTCCCAGCAGCAGCCTCACCCACCGGGGAGCTTATCAGCAAAGCAAACACCTAGACTCCAGGGCGGAGGCGCAGTGTGGGAGAGAGTTAGCAGGTCAGGGGGGCCGACGTGCTCTGAAGTGTCTCTTGGCTCCTGAATGACCCCGACTCACCCACCCCCTGAAAAGCACTGCCTGGCCCCCTGTCACCCCCTCCCCTCAGCGAGTCTCAAACTTTGAATCCACCTGTAGAGTTTGTTTGAAAATGCAGATCCCTGGGCCAAGCTCCCCGAGACTCTGCTGTAGGTCTGGGGGATGTTCCAGGTGATTCCACACGTGAGGTTTACGGGCCACCCCTGAGATGCGCTTCCTCCGTGCGAGTGTGTCTCTGCACGTCCCCCCTGCTCTGCTATTGCAGGCTCAGCTCAGAGCATCTCCCCCGACAGTCCCACGTCTCTCGTGCCCCCCTCCCAGCCCACCCCCGGCCCGGCATGCTCTTGCCACACAGTTACGGCCTGGTCGGTGCAAAGACAGGAACCAGGGACGGTCCTGTGCATCCCTGACCCCCGGGGCCTGGCACTCAGCAAGAGGTGGATGCTTGTCGGTAGCCTTTCAGTTCAATTTATTTCCATCCAATTCGATTCAGTGCAGTTCAACTCAATTCACGTCAGCATAAGAGCCTGTTGTGAGCCCAACACACAGACGCGGGCCTCCGCTTGGGGGAAGGGCCCCGTCACCTGGATGCGTGCCCACACGAAGCATCACTCATCTCTAGGCACCAAGCCCTCCCCGCCCGGCTCGTCTCTGAACATCCGCTAAGTCGACACCGGCGGCCGCTAAGGTGTGTGTTCCAGCCACCACGTCACGGGCTGGCATCCTGCCCGGGTCACCGTCCCCATGACGGGGAAGCGCAGGCCAAACGGAGGACCCGGCGGCGTGGGTCCGCGGGTTCACGCGTCCTCGCCGGTGGGGACGGTGGCCCATCCTCCCGCGGGCAGAGGCCGCTGAGCCCTGCCACGCAGCCAGCCCGGCGGTGACTCCTCCGCAGATCCCACCGAGGGGCCAGCGCCGTCCCAACCTTCACAAGGAGCAGAACGGGGCAGGAGGGAGGCCGGCGTCTTTCTGCAGCAAGCAGCTTCGGTGGCGGGGCCCTGCCCGCATGGCAAGGGATGGCAGCACTGCGGGAGGGCTGGTGACATCAGTGCGCCTCCCCCTTCCTGCGTCTGAAACAACAAAGGGAGATGGTCAGCTTCTGGGCGGCCTCCCTGCGGGGTCGGGGGCGCCGGGAGGCCGGGGCGAATGACACTTCGTGCTGCTTTTTCGGGTCCAGATGCCTCTCAAGAAAAATGCTCCAGAAAATCCCCTTCCTCCCACCCCGCCCCCCATGAAGAAACAAATGGAAAAGTCTCGGATTGGGGTCCAGTTTCTAAAATTATCTATTCTGCGACTCCCAGAAGAAATCTTTATTGGGATTTAGTCAGACTTTCATGCTCTGAGTGAGAATCCGGCATGAAACGAAGCCCGAAGCGTAGCCATGCTCCAGGCGTAAAGCAGAAACGCACCCAGGCTCGTCCGGAGATTTGGAGGGCTCTGCTTTGTAACTAGAGCGGCTCCCGGAGAGCCTCACTCATTCTTTCATTCACTCAGCGGACCTTTGTGGAGCACCCGCTCTGTGCCAGGTCTGGACTGGGAGCCCGAGGGAGGGCAGGGCGGCCGGTACCCGGGGCGTGATGGTCCAGGCCGCTGACCTAGCCCCGGTGCCGGGCGTGGGGAAGCTTCCCTCGAGGAGGAGGGGCCGGGAAAGCACGCAGGGCCCCACCTTTGCCCACGGTCCGCACCCACGTCCCAGGGACGGACAGGAAGGGCCGGGAGCCCTGCCGCGTGGCTCCTGCCGAAAGGGCGTGACCTGAGCCCAGTCACGAGGACGCAGCACACAAGGCCCAGCCGCGGACACGCGGAGTTACC